TTTATTTTATTTAGGATTTGAAGTAATGTTGTAAGCCGTCCAGAGATGACTGTGACGGACGGCCTACAAATTTTCTAAATAAATAAATAAATAAATAAATATTTGGAATTAAGAAAAGTTAAGTAATAAGGGAGGAGTGTATCTACTTGAGGCTTTTGTTGTGCAATCACCTCCTCATTTACAGAATTTTACTGGAGTCTCAGTGTCTTCCATTTGTAACCATTCCATGTTTTCCCACCATTCCGTTCCTCTATTCCTTTCTACAGAAACTCTGTTAAGAGGGAAAAGATAGATTAGCTGTGCAATGTCTTTTGTTTGCTAGCACTAGGAACCATCCGTCTGGAAATGCCTTTTCATTCTGGGAGGCTCAAAATATTGAAAGTTAGGGCACTTCTGCAGAGAGCTGTCTTCTGAGTACAAATGCACTTATTCAACATATCTGACCCCTGTGAACTGCAAGCATTCTGGACCACCCCTGTCCTTTCCTATTGGCATCCCTGTGGTGTCAGTTTTTCCAGCACTATAGCATACTTGAATTTCTCAAAATCTCCCAATTTTCTAATGGGTGGTAAAGCACAGAACTGGGAGCAGAAAATATCCCACTACGGAATATTTCCTAATAATTCGTAGTGCTACTATTTATTTATTTAGAGTTGGCTCCCAATTTACACTGGTCAACAGTGCTGACTTCCATGCTCCTCTTTCACACAGCTTCCCCTCCAGTCCCCTGAAAATGCTACACAGAATAGTAATACCTCTCTCCCAGAAAGATCCCCTGAAATCAGCTGGAAGGAACTTACATAAGTGGAGCTCTACCTTTGGCAGAGGGAGATTCTGGATCCAAAACTTAATGGATTTTTCAAACACATTTCTGGCAAAATTATTATCTCAAGGTGAATGGGTTTAATTCACGAGCATATTAATTGATGCAGAAAGCATAGATATTTTTGCAGTTCCCCAAAATCCAGGTATATCAGCACAGTCAAACCTTACCGGGAAAAGAATCCCTACTCTTCCCCCCAAAATTAGCGGAGAAAGTCTCATTTAGAGTTGGCCCTCTTTACTGGTTCTTCTGCAGTCATCATAGTACACCTGTGTTTAACAAATATGTTGGCATCAATGTTGTTCAGTTTAGACCCTTCAAAGCCACTCAGCTGCCTTTTGGTAATATGAAAGTGGGGTAGATGGCAGTTCCCTCTAGGGGACACATACTTTTAACTTCACTCCCCAAACTCAGAAACTCAGTCACTTCAATCACCTTTATCTTTTGCATCTATGCAAGATTTGTTCACAACTCTGGGAAGTTCTGAAGAAATCCTGATTCTCTTCTGAAGCATGAAGCCTCACTCCACCCATAATGTTCTACTTTCTCTGAATGTTCTACATGGAAAAATGCCACTTACATTAGCTAGAGAATTTCAGGATTTTGTATTGAGTCTGTTGTTGATTCCCCTTTCTCTTTGCACAGAAGCACAATTTACGTCTTTAGATCATTTGGCCCATTTTCCTAAATTTACTCAGTTGAGTAAAGACATCAGGATTTGGCCAACTTTGGCTTATTATAATTTGATGTGTTTATGGGCTGTATCCCTCTATTGTCTAATCTGATATGGATCCTGACTGGGTAAAAGGCCTAGTCCTATAGTTCTGTTAAAAGCAAACAAACCAGCTGCCATATACTGTATAGACCTCTGTAATCTCTACTAAATAAGACACCATTCCTCAACTCTATGATCTTCAGAGTTCTGGACTACAATTTCCAGCTGACATGCTAGGAGTTTGAGTCTAGTCCTTCCAGAGAGCACTCTGTTGGAGGAGACTGCCCTATGCAGTATAGGTTCCAAAACCCTTTAACAGTAGAGATATACTGCTTATATACTCACTTAAACACCAACAATAAAATAATAAATTAATAAAAATAATGAAGTAAAAAACTCTCACAATCTAAGATGCCAGCTGAGACCTGCAAGGTTCCTTTCAGAGGTAGCATTTTGGATGGGCCAGCGGCTGCTCTAGAAATCCCCATCAGTCAGCCTCTCACTGCAGCAAATGCCATAGTGGGAGAGAGGGTGGCAGGACTTTCCAGGGCTGAAAGAAGGAGCAGCAAGAGGGGGCCTTCCTCCTGGAGGTAGGGGTCAAGCTTCTGAGAGGCTGGCCAGACCTGATGGGCAGGACAAATTGGTAAGACAAATTATACTGATTTTCTGATTAATATAATTTTCAGGCTTTTTAGTGATAAAACGTTGAAAAAGAAAACTGACTTAATTTTTCAGTTTCTCTCATGGTTGTATATTATGAAAAGAGAAAATGTTTTCATTGTAAAAGCAAACTCTGTATGAAGGCAGTCTGTGTCTGGATTGTTGAAAGAGTTCAAAAGCAATGATAGGTTAAAAGTGGAAAGTAAATTTGTGCATCTGTTGCATAGCTTTTCCAGGAATGAGCTTTGCAAAAGCAGCCAGTCATTACTGTTTGTTGAAGACACATGTGGACTCAGGTCTGGTCCCTCGTGGATGTAAAGGCAGACAAGACTCTCAAAAATCTGCTTCTGTATCACAATAAATGAAAGCATCTTCAACACGAACTTAATGTTCAGGAAGGGTGTCAGAAAGAAACCTATGTTGGACCCTTGTGTTCATCAACAACTCAGCCCAGATATACTGGTACCACACAAAGCAAGTAATTTATCTGGTCCACTAAATCCAAAGACCATGTGTTGTTTGCAGTGACTATGCCAAAGAAGGTTTTTCAATATTCTTCTGAAATTTTAATTTATGAGGTAAAGAGCAATAATTTCTCAAAGTTTTCCTTATTTTCACATTTTAAAAACAAATACATTATGCTTAATTGGAACAATGCTCACAGTTAATTTGTGATTGATATGGGGGGTAAATTATGTATGGAGGACGAGAGAGAGTATGCAAATCAATAACATTCCTGAAAATGTATTCCTGGGAAACTTGGCTCCACTTACACATTCAGAAGAAAGGAGAAGAAAGCTGCCATCTGCAAGGCATTGAGATGAGAAGAGGGAAATGGAGACAGACAATGTGGGGTGACATTTTGTTGCAAGTCCCACTTATGTTGCCTGATTCTGATTATTCTCTGTTGCAATTTTGCCAAAGAAAATTGAATTCAAACCAATTTTACACATATGCCAGACTGAAACCAATATGAAAACCTTGTCATATCGTACTTAAATCACATTGATTTTGATGGAACCTAAATTTGACCACTTTGATCTGGACTCAATTGCCTTTGTTCCTGAAAACCACGAAATATTTCTGTGGCTGAATAATATTTTTATTGACTATTTTGCAACATTTGGAATGCATAATAATACAAAATAGCCAATGATAAGATTTGTTAAATAAACATAAATGTTGGGTTCATGCTAACCTAAGTCTTATTGGCTTCAGCAGGTTCATATTTGAACTACTGCTCAGTTAAAAGTCCTTATATGAAATAAAATGTTTGGAATACAGTTTAATGTAATGTTTTATTTTATTTTTTGTTTGAATTACTGGAACATATGCATTTACTGATGGTTTTAGTTGAACTCAGCAAACCCTGGGATGCACCAATGCTTCCAGGCTTCATTTGGCTTCATTGCTGTAGTGGGCACTACTGATGCCCAGGGGAAGGATAAACAGGACTGTGGTTTAGGCAGACACCACTAGGATAGAGCTAGATTCTAGGTGTTGTTGCTTTGGCTTACCTTGCCTCTTTCTTCTGTTCATTATTTAAACAATTTCTAACCAGCCATTCCACTCAGAAGTCATGAAGGCAGCTCACACTGATAAACTGATAAAGCAAGAAAAGTAAGCAGCTAAAAGGGGCAAGCATAAATAACAAAGGGGAAACCATCCATCAAAATGTCTGGAAGAACAAAAAGAATGTCTCATAGGTGAGATGACTATTTTTGGGAAGAGAACTCAGAGCACTGGACTTACTGAAACGTTTTCAAACATTGTCATGGTATTCAAGCAGGCCAAACCATAAAGAATCTCCGGTTAGGCACTTAAGTATCTGTAAAAGTCTATTCTTATGGATGACTAAAGCAGTGTGTTGGTTTGGATCAAGTCCACAGGAGCAACTAAGATGCTAGTGCTTCAAACATATACAATTTCATTTCCTCCCAGTTCTGATATCCATGGACTGGCCAGAATATCCTCAGTCAAGATGCCTAGCGGTTACATTATTTAACCACAGGAGTTAACCTTCTTACCAAATATACAAATGCTAAGATAGAATCTAGATCAGATGACAGACTTCTTGTGACTGGTGCTCACATTATTTTTCAATAGCTAAAAGCACATTGCTGGGAGGACTGGAATTGTACTGCTGGGATGGGGAGGTTTTCTTGATCTGGATTGCTTGCCCCAGTCTGCTATTTGTTCTGCAAGTAGAATCACTCACAGACCAACATACTGTATTTGTAAAGCTCTCCACAGTGTGAAACAGCAGCTGCAAGAGGGTATTTCTATTGAGAAAAGGCACATGAAAAAGAACAAACCTTTCCAAGTGCTTTGGTCCCAATTCAAATCTCCCCTTTAGCCTTCAGCTTTTTTAAAAAGTGGAAGATCCAGTACCTGCATCTTTAGGAGCACAGGAAACTGACTTATACTGAGGTAGCCCATTGAGTCCATCTAGCCCAGCACTGTCCACATGGCCTGGAAGCAGCTCTCCAGGGTTTTGGGCAGGATGTGTTCTTAGCTGAATCAGAAAATGCAGAAAATTGAACCTGGCACTTTCTGCATGTACCTTCTTCTACTGGGCTGCAGCCCCTTCCTAAGAGCAGCCCCATAGTCATAATGGTCAGCAGGGACATTTTGATTCCCAGCACATCATGGGTGCAAATAGAAAAAGGCAGTCAGGTCAGGGTATTCTCTGTACTCCAGGTACAAAGTCAATATGGATTTGATTATATGGGAAGACTTTTGAATTATGTCGGATGAGGGAGGGGGACTGCAGAATTAAGTACCTCTCCTCCATTTTTTCAGGAGCCCACAGTCATCTCAGCTGGAAATCCAATGTGAAACACTGATTGGATGGCCACACGTTAGCAAAAGGAAACAGAAAAGGAAGTAAAAGGTGGGGTGCCTGTGCTGCATGTCGAAGACCTCAGGTTCAATCTCAGGCAACTCCAGACAGAGCTGGGAAAGTTCACCACCTGAGCACCCAGAGAACTGCTGCTGTAAGCATAGATAATACCAAGGTAGACAGTCAAACAGTTTCATTTGGTATGAGGCAGCTTCCCATGATTCTACTATATCCTCGGACACTACGAATTTCATCGTAATTAAAAACTAACACCCATAACTTTATGTATTTCATTGTTCAGGTAAGTCTAGTGTTTACAAGGGGTTATGTTGGCATGGCACCCTTCTGTTTTGCGATAGAGCTTTCTGTTAAGGCCTTCTATCCCAGCATCTGCCATTTCTAAGGACTAGAGTACACATCCTCATACACATACATTTAGGCCTAAATTTTGCTTGTGAGCCTCAAACCAGCTTTTCCTATTCTTCCTACTCCTCCAACATGGCTACTGATTAAAGCACCCCTCCTTGTTAAGAATCCCCTACCTGCCCCCAGGCTGTGTTTCTCCCTTCAAAGGAGTGGCTGATTTCAGAAATGCTTCCTTTATTTATTTATTTGATAAGGAAATGTCTGGAGTGTTTTGTTTTTAAATCTTTTATGTGGTCTCAGGGGGCTCAGTAATGGAAGAACTGGCAGGAGACAGTGCCCACTAATCGCCCTGTCGATCCCACACCACCTCTTTTTGAGAGACTTTTCTGACAGGAGACTCAGGCCTTTGGGATGGAAGCACAGTAGTGCTGATAAATATTTATCATGCCTGCCACTGTCAATCGAGATACCTTTTAAACAGAGGGCACGTAAGTTAAATAAAACTAGGAGACAGCATGGATATAAAAACTGCAGGCAGCAAATACTCTCCTCCTGCTCAGTTTTCATGTTTATATCTACATAGACACATACAGAGTGTGTAGGAGAGTGAGAGAGAGAGAGATTAACTATATAATTTTAGGTGTTTATGCATTGCATTCACAAGTGTAATGTGAATGGGCTAAAACCAGCCTCTTGTTCCTAAGCAGACCTTTTCCATCTCATTATCTGAGCATCGTTGTTTTCAGACTTTGTATTACAGTGTTTTGCATGCAGCTCAGTTCCTTCCCCACCTTCTTGTCAATATTTCCATCAACTGAGACTGCACCTGATGAGGAGCCAATCTATTACTAGCTTCCTTCCCGCTTTACTCCCCCAGCATCCCTTTCCCGAGACCAAACTTCACTCTCACACGTCAGACTGCAGCAGATGTTCACACTAGTTTTATTTTGATAGAGCATATGACAACATTCTGGCTTAGATCAAAGTCTTGGACCAAGGCTTAAGAAAAATATAATTCTGTTAGTCATGCATTTTTGTTTTGGAAGGCTCAAGGCCAGATCTTGTTCTATGCACTGCACAGAACTTCTGAAAGTGCTACAGAGTCTGAAGATACTGCCAGGGCATGGCTACACAATGCATATAAAAATGGCTTATCCATCAGGGCTCCCCCCAGAAGGCTTCCCTAAGAAGGGTGCCCAATCTAGGATGTGCACCTGGATGTGGTGAGGAGGGCTGAGACTGTCAGAGAGGCCAAGAGCAATGCCCCTAGGAGACAGACTCTCCTAATAGCATGGTCTCCAAGCAAGATCACCCAAGGAGGAATGGTCAAAACTGAGACATTAGACTAAGATGCATCTACCTGTTGCAGGAGTAATGATCACATTAACAAAAAAGATTGGATATCTCTTAACAGTGATGACAGCAGAGAAATTCCTGAAGGCAGCTACAGGGCAGCAGCTGTCACTGAAGGCAACACTGGTGGAAGATCTTCCAACAATGGTAGTGGCACTCAAGCTAACTCTGGTTAGTACTGCTCAGAAGAAGGCAATGGTAAACCCTTTCTGAATAGTTCTTACCAGTTTTTACCTTGAAAACCCTATAATGAAACAATCTAAATTAATCAAGAGATAGTGCCAAAAGATGAGACCCCCCCAGGTTGGAAGGCACTTAACTACAGGGTAAGAGCAAAGGACAAGTGTGAATAGCGTTGTTGCTAATGATGCAACTAGATCAAAGCTAAAGGAAGTCTAGTGGCTGACATCCACAGAGGTGAAAGAAAAGTCCAGAACTACTCAATATATAAAATTGGAACATAATATGCAAGAAGTATGAATCAAGGCAAAATGGAAACTATAATGCAGGAAATGGAATGGCTAAACGTCACAGCACTTGGTGTGAGCGAACTAAAGTGGAATGGAATATGGATCACAGCAAAGCCTTTGACTGTATGGATCAGAAGAACCTAAAGTTCTAAAAGAAATGGGTGTACCTCAACACTTTATTCTCCCGCTGCATAATTTGTATTGTGGACAAGAAGCTACTGTTAGGACAGAATATAGAGAAAAAGGAAATTCTTTACTCACTGGTGAATTTCTGTTCTCCGTGAGTGAAGAAGCATAGCTAGTTTTGGGGAGGATATCTAAATTAATGGGGCTGGGAAGGCAGACTCCACCAAACTTCCTAAGGATATGGAGCCTTCCCAGCAGTCTCCAGCTGATACTTTCAATGTGTCAGTTTTGAGAAGATAGTGGTCTCACTGCTGCAGTGCTGCCAGGTAACATTTGAAAGCTGGGCGACCCATTCAGAAGGGGAAAACCTTACTTACGTACCAATTGCCTTGAAGGAGGCTTGTCCCAAGAGAAGGGTCTAGCTGGCTTCCCTCACCTGTGGAGAGGAGAAATTCACTAATGAGCAAAGGATTTCTGTTTCTTTCATGAGTGCAGGGGACCAGCTAACTTTGGGGAGGCAAAAAAGTAGTGCCTCTCCAGGTGGGCCAATAGGAACTTTTAACTGGCCTCCTGCTAAGGCTAAAGCAGATTCATGCACAAATCACACCTGCCAAAAGCACCCTCTGCAGAAACCAGGAAGTCTGTCTTCTGCCTGGTGAATGTATGGAGTGAGGACTGATGGTTGTTCTGCAGATCTTATCTAATAAGCCCTCGCCAAAAAGGATGCTGAGGAAGCCATGCACCTGAATGAATGTGTCAGGCTACCCTTGGATATTGGAAAGCAACTGGAGGTGTAAACCAGGGCAGTACATTTATGCAGCCACCTGGCCAAGGAGGCAATGAATACCTTCCCCCCCAGAATCCTCTTCAGTCAGGGAGTCAGCTCATCATGGGGATACAACCTCCTCCTCCTTCATATATAACTTCTAAGGCCTTGTGATGGTTTTTCAAAACATTTGGCTTGCTCTACTCTAACTGCCAAATTATTCTTCTGATAAACTCTGCTCTGCCATCCTATTTGCTTGCACTGCTAACCTGATCTGAACCATCTATTTAACAACTTATCCTGCCACCCGAAGACTTCTGTCACTTTGGGGGATTTAGCACATCCAGGCCTAAGCACACATTGGCTGTCATGTGATAACTGCATTCTCCCTGCAATTTACAACTCCAAGTTTAGAGGAACCCAAAGGTATCTGCCACAACATATGCTAGAAACTTAACACATATTAAAATATAAACAAGTAAATAAGGGGAATCCTTCCAACTGCAAATAAGGCAGGGCAGATTTTACCATGAAACACTGCAACTTCAATGCAATGAAAATAATCAAAGAAGCTACTTCAGAGAGGCTGCCTCCTTTCCCCTATCTATGTTATATTAAACAATGAGCTCTGTTCCAAAATAGAACTTACTGATTTGGCTGTGAAAATATCTAAGGCTGACAGTGAAGTATGCATATGTACCTTATTTTTCCATGTGGTTGCATGTATGCCGGAGAACCATATTTTGGATGGATTCCACATTGCATGCAGTGTCATGCTATGACTATTGTGCTACTCTCTTGTCAGTTCAGGCTGTAACTGCATAGTAGCAAATTTTTAGCACTGCTGCAAGTGTACCACCAGGGGGAAACCTGATCAAACGCTCTTCAGGCCATTCTGCACAAGATGCCCATGTACATTAAAAATACCAAATCACACCACTATATCCTGCTGGAATGTGCCTTGTCCAACATTCAGTAAAGAATAAGGCTCTCAGAATGGAAAATAATGTCTTGTCTCATCTTTTATGAGGGGAAAAATCATACTACTTTGCAAGCATTTTTTTTTCTAGAGGCCACACACATTCCCAGTGGGTGTCTGTTTGCTGTATTTCTATCAGCTTAGAGAATAGCCTGTAACCTCTGAGCCTGCCTGTCTGGTTATAAATTCCAGTCTGTTCCTCCAAGCTGAATATAGAGAGCAGCTGGCCAAAGCTAAATGAATAACACTGTCTCACAAAACAATGGGGCCAGGCCCAACATGTTGCACAGGCATCTATTTCGAGTTCAGATATTTAAAGACCAAGGCAGCGTGACAGTCACGTTTGCAGGGCCAAGCAGTTACAGTTAGAAGGCAGGCTGGGCCTCAAACACAAACAGATTAACACCTTCAGCCTTGTAAGCATCAACGCAGTAACAGAGTTTGCATGCATCTCTGCAAAGAATAGTCTATGAAAGATTTGGCAGGCACTTCATTTCATTTCACAGCATCCATTGTACAGAGATGTGTGTGTGAGTGTGTGTGCGGGCGGGGGCGGGGGTTGGTCAAGAAGCTTTTCTGTTGTCTGCCTGCCTGCTTCTCTCTCTCTCTCTCTCTCTGTTTGGGTGACAAAAAGGCAATCTTGAAAATATGACTTCCCTTAAATTTATTCCTCTGTTTACACATATATTCCACTTTTGCTCCAAGAAATGTAGTACAATATGCACAGTTTCCTTCCTATTTCACGCTCAGGTCAGTTTACTGAAGAGACAATGACCAGTGCCCAAGGCCACTCAGCAAGTCTGACTGCTGAGTTAGAATATGAACCTGGCCCTCTTTGGTCCAAGTCCAGCACTTTTACCCATCAGTGCATCACACTGGCTATGAAATACTCAGAAACCAAAGGAAAATAGCCAAGCAGTTTATTAAATTTAAATTGTATGGGTTTCGTCAAGCAAATGTCAAAACTTAGCTACTGATTTTTTAATATGACATGATTATGTTGGATTCTTCAAATTATACAGGAGGCATCCTTTCCATTACATGCAGCAGGAACCACTTTTCCTTCAAAAGATGGCCTCTTCCTAGGAACCCTCTTTTCCTTCTCCTTCCTTGGTAAATGCTGTGCAAACGATCATCCCCAAAATAAAGACGCTTTTAAAGGACAAACTTGTGTAGAGAAACAAGGGGAGGAAGTCATCTGACTGCATCCTGCTAACTCAGAGCCAGATTATCCAATCATT